TGCAAGTTCTTGTTACCAGAGATGTAAACAGGGAATCTTATTATCAAGATTCAACTATTTCTAACTAATAACCATTACATATCAACCACTGTGCTAGAAAACTTCACATTTGTTAATGTGTCAACCTTATCAGGGCCCTTAACACTGCTTTGAAAGACTTTTCCTTACACCTACTCGGTCCTTTCTTCCATTCTCCAAAATGGCTGCTCCTCACATTTCCCACTTCTGTTAACCTGGATACCTCATGCCTATTCACCTATCCTACACTAATAACCTTAAGGTATACTCCACTGAGCAAACAAAGCCCATCAGGGGCTAACCTCTTCCCATGAGAAACCTCTCCTGATCTACGGTGGCATCCTACATTATTGATTTTTGACTCATTTCAGGCAAAGAGGTGTATCTTTTGCTCGTCAAAGCTACCCCCCCATCTCCTTCCACCTCCTATGGGAAATTGGCCCATCACTATTCCCTTCTGTTTCTCACATTTTTACTATCTTTAATTTCTTCCTCAAAATATATCATCCTTAAGCAACTCTGACCCTTAAAAACAAAACAAAACAAAAACCTAGTTTCCTACTAAGGTGTAATTCTAAAGACTTCCACTTGTGGCCGAAATTGACTTCCAGAGATGACTCATCTCTCTGCCTGAAACAACCACACAACAGGCAAAATGTATGAAACAATGGTTCTCCAAACACGGGGCATGAGGCAGTAAAAGGCAGTGGACCCTAAGAGATGGGAAACAAACAAGAAAAGCCCTGTCATTGCTACAGCTGCCCCAGCTGTTGCCACCGAAGAAGTTTCCAGGCTGAGGAGAATCCAGGCAGGCCCCCTGAGTGGAGAAGACAGAGCTGAGAGAGCAGAGAGAACGAGGCAGCTAGAATTCACAGAACAGAGGACCGGAGAGAAGGGAGCTGCACAGAGAGAGAGCTCCGGAGATCTGCAGAGGGTCCCTCCGGAGTTTTCAGCTGATCAGCACAAGCATAGAGGAAACGACCTGAGGCTGAAGGAATTCCCACCAAAAAAGATTAAAGTCAGGTGTGAGTCAGGTACTCACACAGGGCCAGGAATAATACCTGCTCCAGCCAGACTGGAAAATCTCACGATTCACAGGGCTTTAGGTTGAGTGCTCAGAAGAGTCTTGCCTCAGTAGAGGGAAAAATTAGCCTCAGAAGGAGCACGGCTGATTCCTTCTACCGATCTTAAAAGCAAGACTGGAAAGGATTACACTATTTCCAAGTAACTTAACTGCATCCCAGAACGAAGATCGATAATATTTATGAGGAAACACAGATATCCAGCACCCAACAGGCAAAATTCACAATGTCTGGCCTCCAAACAAAAGTCACCAGGCATGCAAAGAAGCGGGAAACGGTGACCCACAATTAAGAGAAAAAAACAATTGAAAGTGATCCAGTCCCAGAGCCAATACGCTGACTGGGCTTGCTTTCTTTTGTTTCCCTAGTGGCTGCATTCACTAAGGTGTAGCCCTGCTCCAGAATCCTAATTTAGGCAGTGACACAGGCCAGTCTCCCTCCTCGCATGGGCCAGTTATGTCCCCCCTTTCTGCAAAGGAACTCAACTCCTGGATGCTCCTGCCTGGAGGATCCACCAGGGATCTGCCAGGACCTTCGACCCCACTCAACCTTCGGTTTCTGTTCTACTCCTAGTCCACAGAGGTATTTTTCTTGCTTCTGAACATGGTTATGTCTTTTTAGTTTCCTATTTTTACACTTTAACTCGTATTGCCATGTGTTTAGAGTACAAGAGAAGCTTCAAAATGTGACCTTACCATACCACTTCAACTGGAAGTCCCCACCCATTATTTCCGGAAACCCCTCCCTTGCTCTCAAAAACACTACTCTTGGTTTCCTCTCACCTCTCTGATGACTGTCTTTCTTTCTCTGAATCCCCCCTCTCTACTCACCCATTAAATGGGTGGGCCTTTTTGGGCTCCATTCTCCCCTTACTCTATGTTAAAGATTTAATCGGAGGCTGTGTAGATCTGTGATCCCCTGAAATTGTATCAATGTTCTGATTTTCTTCCAATCAGGAAGAGCAGTTACAGTTTTTAAAGCCAGGTTTCATTTTTATAAGGAGAACTCTTTTATTGCTGGGATGTTTACATTACACGTAACTCTTCAATTATTTAGGATGAACTCTGGAGTTGTGGCAAGTATAGTGTAAGTACAAAGACATCTCTTACATTATGATATAGATCACAGCTATATATTATCCATTCAGTTAATGAGAAATGGAACTGGATCTCTGTAAGGGTTGATAGTGGGGTAGAGCACATTGGACTCAGCTGGTTAAATGAAGGGCAAATAATGGCTTCAGTGTGTGTCTCCTGTTAATTATGGGTGAATACTGGATTGTGCTCACGTGTTCGCAAATGATTTTCCTCACCGAATATTTAGGTAGTACCTTTCACAGGTAGTGCTAGGCATCTGGGAATACCCAGCTGAACAAGGCTCAGTCTCCGCCTTTATTGAGTTGACCGTTTAGTCTTTTCGTTTTCTTATTGTTTATTTTAATTCCTCGACTGTCTTGCCGAAAGGAAGTTGCCTGAATGTGGCAATCTAAGTAGTAGGGGCAGGGTGATGAAACCGGCATGAGGATATCTTATGCAATTCTGTTTCCAGCATCCTCAAGGAGTTCTCTTGGAGACTGAAACCTACAGCGAAAACGTAGCAGCCTCCTCTGCAAGCTAATTGCCTCATTATCCTTGCTAATTGGGCAAAGCAGCACAAATAATCCAAATGAAAAAAAAAACATCAAGAAAAAGTGCGCACATTGCCCCCAACACCTCCCTGTTCTCTGACCGTTATGAGAGCTCACTTCAGAATTGGAGATTAAAAGGGCTTGGGGCTAGGGAAGCAAAACTTGTATGTAAATAAGCCAGGCCCCTTTTACAGAAGATTTTAAGGGACCGGTTGACAAAGTGCACAGAATCCCTTCTCTCTGACACCACAAAGTATCTATTACAAGAGAACTTCCTTCTGGCGCCAGGCGGCATTTTGTTTTCACTTGATGTTCTATAGGGGATGAGGCTCTGTGGGGAAAGGGGTAGAGGGTGGAGGGCTACTAAAACGAGAGTGACACTGCACAGGGCCGACTACTGGGTGAGGGGGTAGGAGAAGAATCAGCCCCTAGGAGAGAGAATGAGGACAATAATGTAATAACTGACCTTGTACCATGTTCTACACTTTCCAGGAGAGCCTGCGCACTGCCGGGCAATCTTGTTGACCCTTGTCACCACTTGAGAGGTGGGCTACAAACAGAGAAACAGCTCCAAGAAGGCCAGCAAGTGGCCCAAGGCCACGGAGCTGATAGGCAGAGATCTCCTAATGTCCACAGCAGAGGGGCCTTTCTCCAGTACGTGCCACATGGCAGAATGTCATTCTCTCCCAGGTTAACTCCACAATTAAATCCAAGGCTTGGGACCATATACTGGAAACCAGAGCTGTGTGCTACATTTCAAGGGCTGTTTTGGTAATGGTGTATTTTCACACTTCCGAAGTACTGCCGATAAAAATCAACAGTAAAAGAAAAAACTTCTAAGACAGAGTTTCTTAGCTTTTGCCTAAGAATGAAAGGCTGTCTCGTGGGATTTTTAAAAATAAGATTGCTATCAGACCCATGAGCCACAGCCCAGCCCAGCTCGCCCTTCAGGATCCTCCAAATGAGTGAAGTCCAGGGATTCTGCAGACAAGCCTCTGGAAGCTGCGCCACGGGGCTTTTCTTCTTGAGAGTGGAGCTGCTTATCTCTGTTAATGGAGCATTCAAAGTCATTTGCAGAAGCCCCGCAGCTTTCTATTCCTTATCTGGGGTTTGCAGAACAGTTACGCCTTGGCATTGGCTCCGACACAAATTGCTTTAAAAAAACAAAAATCCTTTTCAAAGTCACCTGCGTTTTAGTTGACAAGACGATCAATGATGATTTTTTTCCTTCTGTCCTAAATGGCAGAGAAAATGAGGTCTCTGAGTCTTATCACCTTTCCTCTCTCCTTCTTCATTTTTTAAAAATTTTAATTTTATATTACAGTGTAGTTGATTAACAATGTTGTGTGCTCCTTTTTCATTCTTAACTCGGGCCTTTCTACCTTCAGCCTCTGCAAACCTGATGTGTCCAAGCCCTGGCCTGTCTAAACGCTAAGGCCTCACGGGGCTCCAAGGAGGCAAAAATCTGGCCACAAATCTTGGATAAACGAGCGGGGGAGGGCCGCTTGTGTCCTGGGTGACAGAGGACTCCTCCCGCGAGCTTCACTCTTCCCACAGATACCTGACCACGTGGATGGCGGGAAGACAAGAGCCAGGAGTTCCTTTCCTTCCAGGTCAGGCAGCGTGGGGACAACCCCGGAACAGAAGCCAGCTCCGGCTTCGCGAGACAAAGAAACGTGGCGGGCCTAAACCTACGCCCCCCACGTGACCCCTCCCCGTCCCCGTGAGACGGCATATCACGTGACCCGTATACCACGTGACGTGCGCGCCGCTTAACCCGGAACTTGCAGCTCCCAGGCCTGGGTGTAGTACTCGGTACCCAGGGTTGCTCTGAAAAGGCGGACGAACTGAGCACTGGAGCCCTGGTTGGTGTCCGCGGGGTGGCCATCCTGCCTGGGGAATGGACGCCTCATTGTAAATTTTCCCAGTGCAACGAGCTGCGGAAATCCAAACCAACTGGAAGCGTTTCTCAGCGTGTTCTAGGGCTGGAGGGATTAGACGGGGTCGGGTACACGTGGAGAGATGCAGGCGAGATGACAGGGATTAGTGAGAACAGACGTGCTGTAATGTGTGCTTCCCGCATTATGGTGCTTTTTCCCACGAGAATGTGCCTTCCGAGTGGGCGGGAGACTGGCTCACCAACACCTGCCACAGCAAACACTAGACGCTCAGTGCACAATTGCCTCGTTAATCCCTGAATTATCCAATAGAAATATAATGCGAGCCACATCTGTAATTCCCAACTTCTAGTAGCCACATTGTAAAAACACAAAGCAACAGTCATTTTTTAAATTTTTAACGGTAAAAATTTATAATTTATTTTTAATGGTAAAATATACATCCTTTAACCCAGTATATCAAAACTATCATCATCGTTTGACATATATTTAAAAAAAATATTAGTGAGATATTTTACATTCTTTTCTTCATATTGTCTTCAATATCCGGTGTGTATTTTACAATATTGTACATGACTAGCCACATTCCAAGTGCTTAATCGCCTCATGTGGCTGGTGGCATCCATATTGGACAGTACTGGTCTAGACTCTTTGTTTTTCTAGGTCAAAGGTGTGGGCAATTTCTTCAGCCAACTGGACAAACCCAGAACATCAGGAGGCTCTGGGGAGACACCACCAGGAAAGTCATATGGGAAATGCATTCCAACAACAAACATTTCTTAAGCACCTACTTACCACATGCTTTGACTTGGTATCCACCTCCCACCCGCAAACAAACTCTAAACCCACTTGACCTGACCAACTTTACACTTCCTTACCCAGTATTTACTTTGGAGGAAGGGGAAGGTGGCATTAAATGGCCTTCTTTTCTATGGTCTGTAATTATAATCCACCTCATTCTCCCTTTTTAAAAACCAAAGTCTGCTTTTTTTTTTTAATTTTAGCAAATTAAGCACCTTTTCTCTGTTACACTTAGTGTGCTGCTTCTCCACAATCTCATTTAATCCTTTTCAGTTGCTGATTTAGGAGTTTTATCCCAGTTTTCAAATAGGGGAAGTGAGGCTTGGAGAAGTGCTGTGACTTTATGGTGAGAAAACTTGGAGAAAGAAAGTTTCTGATGCAGTCCCATCCATTTTCCCTCAGTGATGTCTCTTATGAGGCCTGTGGAAAATGTCCGGCAAGGGCACCATGCACTTCACACCCTAGAAGCCTGCAGTTAAAGCAAAGAAACATCTTGTGCTGTCTGAAATCCACATCAAGCCGTGGTGTACAAAACCTGGGTCAGTTCTGGGCCCTGACACTTTATTAGGTGTGTGATGTTGGGCAAGGCAGTTCATAGTAATAAAAATAACTAGGATTTATTGATTTTCTCCAGTGCATCAGGCTGTGGCCTGGGCAATTGCTCACATACTCCCCCTTCCTCACAACAAGTTAGATATTTCATATTATACTGATTAGTAATCTAAGCCTCAGAAAAAGTAAATTGCCAAAGGTCATACAGCTAATAAGCAGGAGAGCCAGGATTATTAATTTATTAATTATTATTAAATGTATTAATGTTTGAGACTGTAACTTTAACCCCACCTCCCACTGCATACTTAAAGAGAACATCTTAAAGAATTTCAAAATCATCAATATATACCACAGACAACTGTATATTTGTGTTACAAATATAAAAGGCTGTAAAGCATGGGCAGATAGGAATTGCTTTCAATGTGCTTTTTTAAATACAAAAGTACTAACCTTCCAACACAAACTCCAACATCTGTATTTGCTTCCCGCTAAGTAGGGGACATCCCCACCAGACAACTCCCCACCACTTCTTTATTTAGTAGTTGGAAGGTTAGTAATATGATTTCTGTGTGCTATAAAACCACAGGGGTGGTAGGGACGTCAACAGTTTTGGCCCGTGACTTCAAGATGTCAAATCATCAATTACAGACTATCAAGGTTGATTATTACAATGGGATCCTGGAACAGAAAAAGGGCATTAGGTAAAAACAAAGGAAATAGGAGTAAAGTGTGGAATGTCATTAATCATAATGTAGCAATATTGGTTCATTAATTGTGACAAATATACCTTACTAATATAAGATATTAATTATAGGGGAAACTGGGTGTGAAATATATGAGAACTCTCTGTACTACTATCTTTATGACTTTTCTGTAAATATAGAACTTTTCAAAAATACGAGTTTATTTTATAAAACTTTGAGAGAAAATACAAAAGTAAAGATTTCATTATTCATTTGCAATGTTCGTTTGCAATATTCACTTGGGAACTTGCCAAAACAATTAAAACGACTGGTTTTTCAAAAGAGATAGTTATACTTGCACTGTTCAGCTCACAGGGTTTTTGTGATCCTGAGAGAGAAGGAAAAGTAAAAGCATTTTGAAAGTCTAAAGAGGTGACGAATGTCAGATGTCATTACAAACCTGTTAAAGCAAACTGTAGTTATATACTAACATGAAATGTATATGAAGATACATTTCTTAATCTTCATTAGGAGTCTGCAACTTGAAAAAAAGAGTGAAAGAATAAAAATGTAACTAGAAAGAAATGGGGTGAAAGGGGAAATGAAAACAAGGTAAAAGAAAATAGAGAAAATAGCTGTCTTTCTTGAAAGAGATCAGAGGGAGAAAGGGAAGAAGAGAGGGGAGGGAGGGAGGGAGGGAGGAAGGAAGGAAGGAAGGAAGGAAGGAAGGAAGGAAGGAAGGGAGGGAGGGAGGGAGGGGGGAGGAAGGGAAAAGAAAAAAGAAGGAAAAAGGAAAGAGCTATATAAAAAAAAAAGAATCCTTGTGGTCAGGCAGTTCCTTCAAGGAAAAGAAACTGGCCATGACCCACTTCGCGTTGAGGCTGGGTACAGTTTTTGCGACTGTTTAGAGAAAATCTAGCGCTCTCCCTGCCATTAATCTTTTCTAAAGAAAAGACTTTGTTCTGCACCTGTATAAACAATCCCGATTTTTAAAACCTATATGCCTGCCTCTAATGTGTGAGACTCTGTATTTATGCTGATAGCTTCAAGTCATCAATAGGCAATGCAAAAAGCTGCCTGAGATCTTCTCTTTATATCTATTTGCTCCCCCTTCTCTCTCTTTTTTTTTTTTTTTTTGCTTTTCTCCTTCACCTGGCACACCTAGAGTCAAGTTCAAGCGTTTCAGGAACGATGTCTACGCTCTGTCAAGTATTCCCTGCGTTTTCCCAGACCAGAGAGAACTGAGAGCGAGCGATCTTTTTACTCAACTGATCCCAAAGGAGCCCCTCCCCCTACTCTCCACCCCCGCCCCCCAACCAAATGACAAAATATACCGGGAGAAAACCTCTGCAAACGGCGGCGAGCGGGAAGGGTTTGGCGAAACACCCCCACGGGGGAGGCCTGGCCTGGGAGACGAAGGTGGAACGATGATGCCTGAGTGATGAAGTCAGCCCGGGCCAGCCACCTGTTGCGGCCCTTCAGGCATGGAGCCGGGCGCATTTGTTCTGCTGGAGGAGCCGCGGCTTCTGCCCGCTCCGTCCCCAGCTAACTGCCCATCAGTCTCTCCTTAAGCTTCGCTCAGCTTGGGAAGCTGTGGGCTTGTAGGGAAAGAACAGTAAACACCTAATTCGGGTGTGAAGATTCAGTTTCCTCAGAACGGAGTAACTAACGCCAACCCAACCTCATAGGGTTTGAATTATTTTGTTGTTGTTTTGGTTTTGTGTGTTTGTTTCAGTTACTCAGTGGGCAGGCACAGGGCGCCTAATGCAGTGCCTGGCACACAGCACGCATTCAATAGCTGGCCATTGGTGTCCACTTCCAAAATGAAGTACACATCCCCAGACCACGTATTGCAAAGGCCCTTCGAGTGAGAAAACGATAAGACCGCAGTTATGGTTTGTCTCCTTTGAGGGGCATACTTCTGGGTGCCGTTTTGTCGGGGTTTTTTTGTTTTTGTATTTTACTTTGGACGATTGTGTTGACTTACATCCTGCATCCAGGAGCGCGCTCTTCAACATACCATCTAAAATAGTCATCGAGTCCCTAGACTATAACTCAACCGCTGGGCAGGATCCTCTATCTTATGCACGGTGGTGTTAAAAACAAAATTAACACATGGAACTCTCAAGACAGCAAAAAATAGCAAATATAAGCATCTGTGCTGTGCGGCGGGGAGGCGTGTAGCGACTGGAATACCGAGGGGCCAGGGATTCTACTCACGGATTTTGAGTCCATATTCTACTTACCAGCCTGTTGATTTGGGGTCCTTTATTTAATATCTATCTCTGCGGCTTAGCTTCAAGTTCTGCAAAGTGGAGATAATAACATTTAAGTCACAGATGTCTGAAAATGAAAGGAACCAATGTAGATGAAAGCGCTCTGTAAATCATACAGCGAAGTTAAAGGAAAGGAGGGGAGGGAGATGAGAGGTAACTCGCGGACTGTTTGGTGTTGCTTGCTTGTTTTGCTTTTACTCTTTTGTCGGGCCAGGCTTGAATAGGCAGTCAGACGTTATGAGTGATGAACTTGGAAAATACTGTTCTGCTGAAAAGACTCGGGAAAGAAGCAGAGGTCGCGATCCTGGGGTTTCCACGTGTCTGGAAACCCTCGCCATCGCTAAGATCAGTCGCGGGGTGGAAATGGGATGGGTACATGGGTACGAACAAGGTCCCCTCCTTCACTCACCCTGCGCACAGTCATCTCGCACTTGATGGGTCCGTCGGGGACAGGGGCCCAAATCCCGGCTCAACAGAGACGTCCCTTCCCCGCCCCCACCAGCAGATCCTCTGCACTCTGAAAATGGTCCCCACCCCTTCCACGCCCCCGCCCCACCGCTTGCCCCCCTTTCCAACCCCCTCTTCTTTGCCCTGGGTGGTTTCTTCCGAGGAGTACAGATAAATAGTCCTGGCAAAAGGCGCTGCGCGCCGTGGTGCGCGCCGAGCCTGGGCCCGGGCGACGACTTCTCGGCCACGCTCTCCCGGGTCAGCGGCGGGGCTCGTTCTCTGGGCTCCGCGCTTCCCGACCCGGGTCTCTGGTCCTCACCGGAGTTCAGCCTGGCCCCCGCCTCCGCGAGGGAGCGGAAGGCGGAGGCCGCGAGACTGGCCTGGGGGCGGAAGGCGGGGGCGTGGGGGACACGGCGATGTCCACCAGCTCGGGGAGCGACCCCGAGGAGATGGAGCTGCGGGAGCTGCAGCGCGGGTACCCGGTCCCCGTTTCCAAGAGGCCGCCCCTCCGCGGCGCCGAGCGCAGCTACATCTCGCCCAGTGACAACTCGTCCGCGGAGGAGGAAGACCCCGACGGCGAGGAGGAGCGCTGTGCGCTGGGAGCGGCCGGCGGCGCCGGAGGCTGCAAGAGGAAACGGCCCGGGGTGGCGGGGGGCGGCGGTGGCAAGAAGCCCCTCCCGCCCAAGGGCTCGGCGGCCGAGTGCAAGCAGTCGCAGAGGAACGCGGCCAACGCCCGCGAGCGCGCCCGGATGCGCGTGCTGAGCAAAGCCTTCTCCAGGCTCAAGACCAGCCTGCCCTGGGTGCCCCCCGACACCAAGCTTTCCAAGCTGGACACGCTCCGGCTGGCTTCCAGTTACATCGCGCACCTGCGGCAGCTGCTGCAGGAGGACAGCTACGAGAACGGCTACGTGCACCCGGTGAACCTGGTAGGGGCCCGGCGCGCGAGGCCCGGGGCGGGCGGCCGAGAGATGCCCGGCGTGCTCCCGGGTGCCGGGCAGAGTCTGGCCGCTGGGGAAAACCGGGGGTAGGGGGTTTCCGGTATGGGTGCTGAGGAGGCCAGTTTACTTTCTCCCAGATCACCGGAGGGGCCAGCCATTTTCGTGGAGGAGAACCATCCACCCTTCTGTGTTTGCATCACCCGGTGACAGCTATTGTCTAATATCCTGCTTCCGGACTAAATCTAAGTTCCATCTGAGCCCTCTGTCCCGTTGTAGATTGATTGGCAAATCTCCCTTCCTAGCTTTTTCCAGCTAAGCGTCAGACAGGTTTGAATCAACAAGCCTTACTTTCTGAAAGGAAGGAGGGAAGGCCGATCTCTTTTCGAAAGCCTTTGGGTTTTTCAATTCTTGAAGAACAGCAGAGGTTTCCCCAAACGGGATTTGTCTGGAAAGTCCCTCTCCGACCTGCCAATTCTCCAGGCTTGAGAAAGATCATATCCCAGTTCCTATTTGGAGCGAATGGCTGATTGGTGTGTGTGTGTGTGTGTGTGTGTGTGTGTGTGTGTGTGTTGGGGGGAAGGGAACTAAGCAACAAAATTCCAAATTCATGCAAATTTCGCGGAATCATCGTGAGGGCAGCATGGACGGACACCTCCCGTCTCACGTGATCAAAATACAGTAAAGTTAAAGTCTTAGTTTAGAGAGAAGACACGCAGATTCCCAGAATACTGATAAAATCTGAGCTACTCAAAGCCGGGGATATTCCAGGGTTCCGTTTGGAGAGCGGTTTCGGTTTGAAATGGTCGTTTCTCCTCCAGTATCTGATGCTCTTTTTGATTTTACAGACATGGCCATTTGTGGTCTCGGGACGACCCGACTCTGACACCAAAGAAGTTTCCGCAGCCAACAGATTATGTGGAACTACCGCTTAGATCGAACTCGAACTCACTTGAAGGGATTATTGGTTAAGCGACTGTGTTTGGGAGTCAGGGAGAGAAGGGAGAGAGCATGAGAACCCCCAAGAATGGGAGGACAGTTCCATTGGATTCTCCTAGACTTCCACCCCGGGACTGTGAACTCGACAGGTGGCGGGCGTTGGGTGCAGAGCCCCAGGGTTCCGCGGCGCGGCCGTCATCGCAGGATGCGGACGGCTAGGCTGCCGCGGGTTTGGGCGACGACACTTTACACGCGGACCCAGCTCCAAACTCGGGCTTTAGCAGTGTAGACTAACGCCGGCGCTGCAGTCTGAGCGTAGCGCGCAGCCGCCTGGGCGTTCGTTCCCAGGCTGAGCCAGATCTACGTGGGTGATGGCACGGGTCCGCGCAGCCCAGGCCTTTCGCGGTTAGGTAATTGTTAGAGCGCGCTCTCGACAATCGGCTTCAAAGACGGAGGTCTTCACGTGAGACCCACCTGGGGCGCGTCTTTAAGTTGCAAAGAGAGTGTGGCACACCTGGGCCAGGTTTGTATCCCACGGGGCAGCGCCCTCCTAGCGGGCACACGATGCAGTCTCCGCTCGGGGAGAGGTGGAGGCGCGCTTTCTGAGACCAACTCAGCTGGGTTTGCCAGGAGTGGCCCTGGCGGTTCGGCTTTCAGGTGCGGTCACGCCTCTCACTCCCCCCAGGCGCCCATCTCTCCGTAACCTGGCTTCCGTCTCCCCCCTCCCCTTCTAGGCTTGAGCCTCCCATCCGGCTCTCCCCACTGAAGCCGGCTCGGGTCTCCTTCGGCGCCTCCCTCTGCTCCCTCCTCCCACACCTACTTGCAGCTCCCCTCCCCCCCACTCCTGACTTTCCCCAGCTGGCCTCCCCACTTGGGGTGGCCCCCGCCTCCAACACTGCCTCTCGGCGTCCACGTTCTTCCTCCGGCGGGGCGGGCCGCCAAGGCTGTTCCGTACCTAGTGACCCTACCCCGGGGGGAACGCGCCGCTGCGCC